CAAAATCGACTTATTTTATAAACCGTATATAGAGAAAAATCGCACCCTCCCGTGGCGCCGCCCTTGCGAAATTAAAAATTATTGTTTACAGAACCCTTCCCTAGAGTTTTATAATGAACTCCCCAAAGTCTCATGCCTATCGGATAAACGGTGTCACTGCAATTCACTTTTATTCTTTTTATATACCGTAAATAGAGAAAAATCGGACCCTTCCGTGGCGCCGCCCTTGCGAAATTAAAAATTATTTTTTTACAGAACCCTTCCCTAGAGTGGTATACTGAATTCCCCAAAGTCTCATGGCTATCGGATGAACGATGCCAAACCAAAATCGACTTTTATTTTTATATACCGTATATAGAAAAAAACAAAACGCGTCGTGTCGGGGCACCACCCCTGCGAATTTGAAATATTATTTTCGCAGAAATCTCCCCATGAATATTCTCAACAACTTCCTAAAGTTTCATGGCAGATCGTGTCAGAACGGCGTCACGGCGGCAATTCACTTTTATTATTTTTATATACTGTATATAGAGAAAAATCGCACCCTCCCGTGGCACCGCCCTTGCGAAAATAAAAATGATTTTTGTACAGAACCCTTCCCTAGAGTGTTCTAATCAACTACCCAAACTTTCATGCCTATCGGATAAACAGTGTGAAATCAAAATAGACTTTTATTTTTATATACCGTAAATAGAGAAAAATCGGACCCTCCACTGGCGCCGCCCTTGCGAAATTAAAAATTATTTTTTTACAGAAACCTTCCCTAGAGTGGTATAATGAACTCCCCAAAGTCTCATAGCTATCGGATGAACAGTGGGAAATCAAAATAGACTTTTATTTTTATATACCGTATATAGAGAAAAACAGATCGCGCCCTGCCGGGGCGCCACCCCTGCGAATTTGAAATTTTTTTTTTCGCAGAAATCTCCCCATGAATATTCTCAACAACTTCCCAAAGTTTCACGGCGATGTGATGAGAGGTGTAGTAATGCATAAAGGACACACAGACACACACACACACATACATTGCTTTATATATATATATATATAGATAGAAGATAGATAACCGCCCCCCCCCCCCTTCCCCCTTTCATTCCTTTTCCCAATACACACATTATTTCTCTCCGCAACCGTTTGTTATATCTCCAGTGGTTGAAGGCAGCGATTACAGAATATCATTATCCTCCGCAGATATGCTGTTACCTGAAGAGTATTACAGCCGAGATTGCATCGTCCCGGCTCCCTTTAAAAATGAAGCTGTTCTACATCTATTGAAGGTTAACGTTACTACATCGCCGATAAAATATACGTCGATAAATGACGAGGCGGATCTTTTCATGCACGGACCTCGAATATCTAATTTCGTGAGTAAGAATATGTTTAAAAAATGTATTGAACTTCAAAACAAGCATTTGATACGGCGTTGAACGCGTTGAGCTGAATGAACAGAAGTAGGAGCACTCGCGATACTCATCATTACAAGTACGACACAATATTTTTTTCAATGGCTACTTGATTTTTTTGTTTTTTCTTAAGGACTTTCCCGTCCGATGAGTTTAACATAAATAGATTTGGAAAAAAAACAGCAATTATTATTATCTTTCTGGTAAATAAATATATGCGGGGTCTATTGATTTTAATATAAGGTAATATTATATAAAGGGGGGGGGGAGCTGTAAATTAAGAGATAAAATGTTAAACAATGGTTTCTTTCAGACATTTTTCTCAAGAGAGATGGCTCAAAAATTTTCAGGGTAAATATTTGGAAGTTCCTGGAAGGGGAGTATGGGGGGACACTAGCTAAATATCTTCCAAATGAATTCTTTATTTTTTAAAATATTTTGTCAATGGGGTAGGAGGTTAATCCCCCACCCCTTCCCCAGCCCTCCCTGAAAAAAACAGTGTGTAACCTCAATAAAGAGGCTAATCTTTTTGGGCATTTGTTTAAAAGCTTTTAAAAAGTTTATGGAATTATAAATTGTAATGTGGGGGGAGGGGGCGTCCATAAATGACGTCACACTCGTAGGGGAATGGTGGGCGATAATTTTGTGACGGTTTTTGAAGGGAAAGAGGGTTGTTCAGATGGCGTGACGTCACACTTTGGCATAATAAAACAGCAATGTTAGAAAACTAATTTTAGACGTTATTTCGCGTTTTAGAAAACTGTTTTAAAACACTGTAGTAGGAATTGATTAAAATACTCTAAGCTGACAAAGTTCAGACAGGATTTTGGAAAAATATCGTAATTTATGAAAAATTCAACTGCAGTATTGAGGGGGGGGGGGTTGTAGGCTGAGGTGTAACGTCATTTTAAGGGGGGGGGGGGGGGGGTGTCTGTTTTTTGTGACGATGTGTGACGAAGGGGAGGTGGAGGGGTTAACAATATACACAAAGCGTGACACCATTTATGGATGACCCCATATTACGAAAGTGTCATCACTTTAAAGTTGTCTATTTCATGTTTATGGTTCATACAATACAAACTTAGAAACAAACGGGTTTATTACATCAACAACAACAAAAAAAGCAACTCGCGTCGCTGTTATTTGCTGTTACGTCATGTGGATGTCTTTTAAAGATTTCTATGGTCAAAGCACCTGTGGTTAAATGTCCGCGCTCCGTAGATAGTGTAGACACTATTTTATTCTTTTAGTTTCAACGAGCCTTTGTTTTCATTGTCTTGTTTTGTAACCCGGTTGTGGTTGTTTGTCGTATGTGTTGCGCTACGCATCGGATCACCCGAAGGACGTGTCCGTGTGTTCACAACAATTTCATTTTCATAGACTAATAGTTTTGTCATTGTTGATTTCAGATCTGGGCTACTTATAATGAAGTGGCCTTTAGAATGGACTCGGATACACCCTTGTCTTGTTATATGACCTTCATGAGTCGGGGCGATGAAAATTTCTTTGGAGCTACAACAATTATCCCTAGTGGATTGTATTGTAACTATTATGTGTGGAGGTAAGGTAATGTGTGGAAGTAAGGTCATGTGTGTTGGTAAGGTCATGTGTTGAGCTAAGGTCATGTGTGGAGGTAAGGTCATGTGTGGAGGTAAGGTCATGTGTGTTGGTAAGGTCATGTGTGGAGGTAAGGTCATGTGTGGAGGTAAGGTCATGTGTGGAGGTAAGGTCATGTGTGGAGGTAAGGTCATGTGTGGAGGTAAGGTAGGTCATGTGTGGAGGTAAGGTTATGTGTTGAGGTAAGGTCATGTGTGGAGGTAAGGTAGGTCATGTGTGGAGGTAAGGTAGGTCATGTGTGGAGGTAAGGTCATGTGTGGAGGTAAGGTCATGTGTGAAGGTAAGGTCATGTGTGCAGTTAATGTCATGTGTGGGAGTAGGTCATGTGTTTAGGTAAGGTCATGTGTGGAGGTATGGTCATGTGTGGGGGTAAGGTCATGGTAAAGGTCATGTGTGGGGTTTAGTTAATGCTTGGGGTTAAGGTCATGTGTGGAGGTAAGTTCATGTGTGGGAATAGGTCATGTGTGGAGGTAAGGTCATGTGTGAATGTAAGGTCATGTGTGGGAGTAGGTCATGTGTGGAGGTAAGGTAATGTGTGGAGGTATGGTCATGTGTGGAGGTAAGGGCATGTGTGGAGGTAAGGTCATGTGTGCAGGTAAGGTCATGTGTGTGTTAAGGTCATGTGTGGGGGTAAGGTCATGTGTGGAGGTAAGGTCATGTTTTAGGGTAAAATCATTGGGGGTTAGGTCATGTGTGGGGGTAAGGTCATGTGTGGAGGTAAGGTTATGTGTTGAGGTAAGGTCATGTGTGGAGGTAAGGTTATGTGTGGAGGTAAGGTCATGTGTGGAAGTAAGGTTATGTGTGGAGGTAAGGGCATGTGTGGAGGTAAGGTCATGTGTGCAGGTAAGGTCATGTGTGTGTTAAGGTCATGTGTGGGGGTAAGGTCATGTGTGGAGGTAAGGTCATGTTTTAGGGTAAGATCATTGGGGTAAGGTCATGTGTGGGGGTAAGGTCATGTGTGGAGGTAAGGTCATGTGTGGAGGTAAGGTCATGTGTGGAGGTAAGGTCATGTGTGCAGGTAAGGTCATGTGTGTGTTAAGGTCATGTGTGGGGGTAAGGTCATGTGTGGAGGTAAGGTCATGTTTTAGGGTAAGATCATTGGGGGTAAGGTCATGTGTGGGGGTAAGGTCATGTGTGGAGGTAAGGTCATGTGTGGAGGTAAGGTCATGTGTGGAGGTAAGGTTATGTGTGGAGGTAAGGTCATGTGTTGAGGTAAGGTCATGTGTAGAGGTAAGGTCATGTGTGGGGGTAAGGTAGGTCATGTGTGGAGCTAAGGTCATGTGTGGAGCTAAGGTCATGTGTGGATCTAAGGTCATGTGTGGAGGTAAGGTCATGTGTAGGGGTAAGATCATTGGGGGTAAGGTCATGTGTGGAGGTAAGGTCATATGTGGAGCTAAGGTCATGTGTTAGGTTAAGATCATTTTGGGTAAGGTCATGTGTGAAGGTAAGGTCATGTGTGGGAGTACTTCATGTGTGAAAGTAAGGTCATGTGTGGGAATAGGTCATGTGTGGGAGTAATTCATGTGTGAAGTTAAGGTCATGTGTGGGAATAGGTCATGTGTGGAGGTAAGGTAATGTGTTGAGGTATGGTCATGTGTGGGGGTAAGGTCATGTGTGGAGGTAATGGCATGTGTTAGGGTAAGATCACTGGGGGTAAGGTCATGTGTGGGGGTAAGGTCATGTGTGGGGGTAAGGTCATGTGTGGAGGTAAGGTCATGTGTGCAGGTAAGGTCATGTGTGAAGCTAAGGTCAAGTGTTAGGTTGAGATCATTTTGGGTAAGGTCATGTGTGAAGGTAAGGTCATGTGTGGGAATAGGTCATGTGTGGAGGTAAGGTCATGTGTAGGGGTAAGGTCATTGGGGGTAAGGTCATGTGTTGAGGTAAGGTCATAAGTGGAGGTAAGGTCATGTGTTGAGCTAAGGTCATGTGTTAGGTTAAGATCATTTTGGGTAAGGTCATGTGTAAAGGTAAGGTCATGTGTGGGAATAGGTCATGTGTGGAGGTAAGGTCATGTGTGGAGGTAAGGTCATGTGTTGAGCTAAGGTCATGTGTTAGGTTAAGATCATTTTGGGTAAGGTCATCTGTGAAGGTAAGGTCATGTGTGGGAATAGGTCATGTGTGGAGGTAAGGTCATGTGTGAAGGTAAGGTCATGTGTGGGAGTAGGTCATGTGTGGAGGTAAGGTTATGTGTGGAGGTATGGTCATGTGTGGGGGTAAGGTCATGTGTGAATGTAAGGTCATGTGTGGAGGTAAGGGCATGTGTTAGGGTAAGATCATTGGGGGTAAGGTCATGTGTGGGGGTAAGGTCATGTGAGGTTAAGGTTATTGGGGGTAAGGTCATATGTGGAGGTAAAGAAATGTGTGGGGGTAAGGTCATGTGTGGGGGTAAGGTCGTGTGTGGAGGTAAGGTCATGTGTGGAGGTTAGGTCATGTGTGGAGGTAAGGTCATGTGTGGAGGTAAGGTTATATGCGGAAGTAAGGTCATATGTGGAGGTAAGGTCATATGTGGAGATAAGGTAATGTGTGGGGATAAGGTCATGTGTGGAGGTAAGGTTATCTGTGGAGGTAAGGTTATGTGTGAGGGTAAGATCATTGGGGGTAAGGTCATGTGTGGAGGTAAGGTCATGTGTTAGGGTAAGATCATTGGGGGCAAGTTCATGTGTGGGGGTAAGGTCATGTGTGGAGGTAAGGTCATGTGTGCAGGTAAGGTCCTGTGTGGAGCTAAGGTCATGTGTTAGGGTAAAATCATTTTGTGTAAGGTCATGTGTGGAGGTAAGGTCATGTATGGAGGTAAGGTCATGTGTGGAGCTAAGGTAATGTGTTAGGTTAAGATCATTTTGGGTAAGGTCATGTGTGGAGGTAAGGTCATGTGTGGAGGTAAGGTCATGTGTGGAGGTAAGGTCATGTGTGGAGGTAAGGTCATGAGTGGAGGTAAGGTCATGTGGGGGTAAGGTCATGTGTGGAGATAAGGTCATGTGTGGAGGTAAGGTCATGTGTGGAGGTAAGGTCATGTGGGGGTAAGGTCATGTGTGGAGGTAAGGACATGTGTGGGTGTAGGTCATGTGTTTTGTAATATAGGCCTGACTTCCATGATTTAATTTGGTTTTTTTAATATTTTATGCCTTTTGCATTTTATGTAAAATCGGTAATTTTTTTTTTAATGTTTACGTTTTCAAAACTAATGCCATTTAAAAATTATAATTAGATTTTTTTATATTTTGTTAACTTTTGGAATATCCCACAATTTTTAAGTTTAAAAAAAAAAGTAAAATAAAAGCTATACGAAAATTAAATTCAGAAAGAATTAAATCCTTTAAAATTACTCTAAATATTTTTCTGTGAAATATTTTGTCCCAGATAGTTTTTCCGAGATCATTTGTCCATAATATAATTTGCCCTTAGATATTTATCCTGAGATCATTTGAGATCACTGAGATATTTTATCAAAGATATTTCGCTTGAGATCAGTTGTCCTGACACTGATATATATATATATATATATATATATATATATATATATATATATATATATATATATATATATATATATATATATATATATATATATATATATATTTAGGCCTACAAAACAATCAATCTACATTTTTGTCAGTTGTTTTTTCCACCAATCGTTGTCCACGTCTAAATTTACCTTCCCAGTCTATGTTCCCTTGCTGTCCCTAACAATACATGAATTCTGTCTTTCAGCACTGTGAATTACCCAAACATCGAACACAATTACGTGGTGTTTTTCAGCCAAACAAAGCACAAAGATTCTCTCATCTATGACGGAACAAATATTTTAAAGTAAGACCTTCTGTAATAGGGGATCCGAACAAAAGTACGACATAGACAAAAGACCGACAGGGACAAAAACCGGACAGGAAATTAACCCAACAAGAAAAAAGGCCGACATCTAAAATGCCGACATAAAAGGCCGTCTTGTAAACAAATTGAACGCGTGTGGGTGTGGAGGTGGGAAGGGGGGGGGTTCTAAAACTAAAATCCTAAATGTTTGTGGACGTCATAAATGGATGACCCCCTAATGTCGTGAAACAAGAGCAGTGTTTCTTCCAGACTTTTTTTCTCCGTGGGGGCACTTGAAATTTTCGGGGGGGGGGGGGGACGGTAGACTTTCTTCGGGGCGGAAGACGGACACTGTTAAAAGTATATATTTTCTATATAAAATTCATTCATTTTGTTCGGGGGAGGGGGGGGGCGGTAGTCTCCCCCCACCCCCGAAGAGATTCCTGGAAGAAACTCTAAACAAGAGCCTTTTCCTTTCCAGTGCGAACTGGACCCGTCTCACGCGCACGTCCAACTGGTCCTTTATCTACATGGACAGTGCAGCGGGGGTGCATGAGGCCTACATGTCTGAGGGGGCGCCCTTTGGCTGCTACATCTACGGCACTGGCGGCATTGTAGCGCGCTCAAGGCATGGATATCTCACCAGTGTCGGCCTCATTGCTTCAGGAATCAACTACGTGTGTGCTTAAAGCGAGTGCCAGTGCGGCTTGGTCGGGTGGTAGGGCGCACTAGTAAAGTAAAGTAAAGTTCCCTTTCAAACCTGACGGTCTACGGGTCAAGTGAAGTAGAGTTCACCTGTTTCTGTGACCTCGGCATATGAAGGGATAGTGTGGTCAATACTATGCGCAGCCGCCTTTACTTTCCCTAACGTGAGTTAGGTACCCAATAGAGCTGGGTGGTCTCAGGGACGGTCTACAGACTTGAACCTGGATTCGAGACTATCGGGTTAGCAGTCCAGCTCTCTACCGCTAGGCCACTCCGTCCCATAGAGCACACTGGCACCAACCAGACAAATCTGAAGGACGGATCTGTGACCCGAGGCTACATGAAGTCTCCGAGTCCACCCCCCCCCCTTAACCCGCTCTGATGGATACACAACTCACTTTGGGGAAAATAAATAAAAACTTCTAGCCACTTTCATATACCGTGGTAGAAATAAACAACAGGTGAGCTCTACTTCACCTGGCATTTATGTCTTGTCTGAAATGAGATTTTTTTTTACTAACTTTGCAAATAGATTTATATAAACACAGCAGTCTGTATATATATAAACAACGCAGATAATCTCTTTAGCTTAAGCTTCAAAAGTGCAGGTGAAGTAGAGCTTCGGCATTAGAAGGGATAGTGTGCCACAGTTACTTCAACGAACACGAGTCAGGTTTAGTCAGGTACATAACAGGGGGGAGGGGTTACGTTAAGTCAGGTACTTATTGGGGGGGGGGGGGGGTTGCTAAAAACGCGACGCCGGTCCAACAATTCTCTTTTGGGACAGCAGGCGTTGGGACAAAACACCCGACCAAGCCGACCCTTATAACAACACATAATATAGAAATATAAAATACAATTTTAAAGTCATCAATTTTAACAGCTGCTAAATATCCGTATTTTACTCTCCTTAGTTCACTCTATCTCTATGTATATTCCAATATCTTTTTATTTGCATATATATATATATATATATATATATATATATATATATATATATATATATATATATATATATATATATATATATATATATATATATATATATATATATATATATATATATATATGGAAATGCATGTAAATCCCTCAGGAAATCGTGAAGCGGATATCAAAACCGAACATGACAGAGGGCGACCTGTATGATAATGACAACGATGCCGCCGTTGATGAAGAGCTAAACAATGGAATAGGTTGTTGTAAATACATCTTCGGTGATTTATTGAAAGCACATTAATATTACAAACACTCTTGCACATTAATATTATTACATTGAAATACATACATACGCATGCGAATTATGTGCTAATTATCTATATATATATATATATAATTTTCTTCTTGGAGACCATAGAAAACACCAAGCTGTTAGCGCGCCTAGCCGCCCCCTCTCTTCCTCTCTAGGCATATCCCTACAACCCCCACCCCCACATGGTCTGGTGTGCTGTGGTTCACGCTAAATGTTTACAATCGTAGAGCGGGGGTTTAGTGACCACTATTAGGGGAAGATAATTTAATTTGAAACTATTTTAAACTGAGGGGAGGTAATTAAGAGGAGGTTGCTTTCACGAAGGGGGGGGGGTAGGGGGTTTGGGGAGAGGAGGGGGAGGGTATCATCCTTAACGAGCTACTGATAGTGTTTTAAAGCAAATATTTTCACTGGCAGCATTGGTACTGTCGAATTCACAAATAATGAATTACTGAAAAGTAGAAAAAAAAAACAACTAAATATCGGCGTATGATACGCCGCGGGTCGGCTCGTACTATATATTTTCAAATCTTATAGATATATACATACTATATACTACTAAATAATATTATATAAAATTATATACACACACACATATATATATATATATATATATATATATATATATATATATATATATACATCTTATATTTATCATACTTTCAGATGATGACGGCGATGGTTTAATTGACGAAGATCTGGCATTCCCAAAAACGGGTACGACAGCAGACGTATGTTAGTAGTCAGCTGGTTCATTACTCAAACATCAAAGTTGTATTCATGACTTTAGTCATTCCTTAATCGAGATATTGAAGTCATATTTAAAGAAATGGATTTTTCTCTACATTTTATTAAAAATTTGCAATTTAAAAAAAATCCAAACAGTTCATGGGAATTGGAGTCAGTGGCAGGGCTGGCAATGTCATGGAATTTGTGGGGTGGGGATGTTATCCAAAGTCAGGTACGTTTTAAAATTCTTCTCGGGGTGGGGGGGGGGGGAGGGGCACTTGAAACCCAAGTGTGAGGGCACATTAAATTCCCTGCGAGATGGCAGATATTGGTCAAAGTATATATTTTTAAAATAAATTTCGATCTATTTTGTCCATGTTGGGGGGGAGGGGGGGGGGGGGGGGGGTTCGCGATGCCAGAACGAAACTGGTTTCAGGTTAATAAAGGGTTTCCTTAAAACTTTGTATTACCGTACACAGTTTTAAAATGTATTAAGACTGAAATATCATAAACTTTGCTACTCCGTTCAATTAAAAAAAAAAATATCATGCAAATGATCAGTTTTAATCATGTACTCATATAAAGTTTGTATCTAGCAATGTGAGGTGCGCAAATATTAATCTTCGTTCATATATCTCTATAACACGTATGCAAGTCTTTGAAATAGTTATAACATTATTAACACAAGATTTTCTAATGAGTTTGATTGGAATAGGAATATTGTGTGCAGGATATTAACAATACTGTTTTGTTTTTACTAAATTCTTTAGTTATCAGGCCATTTTACAGTCACTTTACAACTGTTGAAAATAGTTGTCAAATAATGTGTACAATTTTTAATTTAATACATTTGTTGAATACATCAGTTAAAGACATTTCCTTTTTTTAAATGCAGCCCTTGAATAAATTGATCGAAAAATCAAATCATTGTTATATAATGTGTAATTTTCATTGAACACCAATACATTTTTCGAAGTAAATTATTTAAATCAACAAATTTTTAGGGTATGTAACAATTCAAAATATTTTTAGGTTATGTAACAATCCAACATATTTTTAGGTTATGTAACAATCCAACATATTTTTAGGTTACGTAACAATCCAACATATTTTTAGGTCATGTAACAATCCAACATATTTTTAGGTCATGTAACAATCCAACATATTTTTAGGTTATGTAACAATCCAACATATTTTAGGTTATGTAACAATCCAACATATTTTTAGGTCATGTAACAATCCAACATATTTTTAGGTTATGTAACAATCCAACATATTTTTAGGTTATGTAACAATCCAACATATTTTTAGGTTATGTAGCAATCCAACGTATTTTTAAGGTTATGTAACAATCCAACATATTTTAGGTTATGTAACAATCCACCATATTTTTAGGTTTCGTAAATATCCAACATATTTTTAGGTTATGTAACAATCCAACATATTTTTAGGTTATGTAACAATCCAACATATTTTTAGGTTATGTAACAATCCAACATATTTTTAGGTTATGTAACAATCCAACACCTCAAGGGTATGGGACGCCGTGTATAGGTGACGGCAAGTTTACAGGTGACAATCAGTCGTGTCACACTGGGCACACCTGTCCTGAAGGTGGGTGTTGGGGTGTTGGGGTGTCTGGGGCGACATGACAAAATAAATCATCGGTCATGTCATACCTGTCTTAAAGGTGAGTGTTGGGGCGACATGACAAAATAAAAAAATATAACAACAGATGCGTTTCCTACTGATAAGTCAAAACAGGTTCTAAACGTGAAGATCTAAACGTTGACATATGCCAACATTTTTTGCGCCATGCGGCCCCTGTAGTTTAACCTAGATTTCTTTGTAGATGTTCAAGGCAGAAGTTGTTTTGATTTTTTTTTAAGTTATGAAGTTGTTTTTTTTCTTTCAGATGTGGTTCTGTCCCCATCTAACCATCGTATATATATATATACTAGCCGTCCCGGCCAGGCCCTGCTCTGGCTTCTGTGAAAAACCTTTCTGTTAAAGACCGTTACCTGTGTGTTTAGTAATCATCATAAACCCGGCATTTCCCACCCAAACCACAACCAACCAAAACCAAAACAACAAAACGCAAACATAACGCTAACACAATTACAAATACAAACGAAAACAAAAACCTAACAACAAACACAACCACAAACACCAATACAAACACAAAGAAAAAACAAACAAAAAAGCAAACGAAAACAAAAACCTAACAACAAACCCAACCACAACCACAAACACCAATACGAACACAAAGAAAAAAACAAACGAAAAAGCAAACGAAAACAAACCAAATCCAAACGCAAAACCAACCACAAACACAAACACAAACCCAAAGAAAGAAAACACAAACAAAAAAGCAAACGAAAACAAACCAAATCCAAACGCAAAACCAACCACAAACACAAATACAAACACAAACCCAAAGAAAAAAAACACAAACGAAAACGAAAAAAGAAAGAACAAAAACGAACCAAACCAAAACGCAACCACTAACGCAAACCCAACCTAAACACAATGAAAATACAAACGCGAACATAAACGCATAGTGCTCACAGTCTAGCCCGGGGCAGAATCGCCTGTTTCAGCTTAATAAACGACTATAGTACCCCAACTTATTCATAGTCTTTTGCACTCACTTAAACGAACGTAGGCGCCAAACCGAACACGGGAGGCCCGGGGCCCCAAATAGCACCCTGTCTGTGCACCAGAGGACGCCCGGATTCGATTCACTTAAAGACTATAGTAACCTTTCTTATCCATACTCTATCGCACTGTTTAAAGCGAAATTATGCACCATAGGATAGCCCAGAGCGCCAAATTGAACCCTGGTCGGGCGCCGGCGGACGCGCCTGTTTCAATTTAATGAACAATTATAATACTCCAAGCTTAACCGTAAAATACCTACAACATTTGCACTTGATCAATCCCCGCTAATTATGTAATTATTTTTTTCCCAACACCAAAACAAAGTAATAAAAAGTAAATTCTTTTCCACTAATGCAATGTTTTATAAAGGGAAGTAATTGTGTTTTACTAATTTATCAAAGGGAAGTAAGTGCCAAATGACTAAATATAAATAATTTTCAGACATAATTAGAATTTTTGTTATTTTTTAAAAATTGTGTTTAATGAACATGCCGACAATTATTACTATCAGTTTGAAAAATGAAAATTATTTCCCAACACTTTCAATAGTAATTTTTTAACTCATAAATTTAGACAAATGCGCACGGTAATAGTCTAACACTTTAATCCATGGAAGTATGTCAACGACAAACATATTTATTTTTACATACAGAATTGAGCTTTATATATTAGATACTAGCCGTCCCCGCCAGGCCAGGCTCTGGCTTCTGTGAAAAACCTTTCTGTTAAAGACCATTACCTGTGTGTTTAGTAATCATCATAAACCCGGCATTGCCCACCCAAACCACAACCAACCAAAACAACAAAACGCAAACATAACGCTAACACAATTACAAATACAAACGAAAACAAAAACCTAACAACAAACCCAACCACAACCACAAACACCAATACAAACACAAAGAAAAAACAAACAAAAAAGCAAACGAAAACAAAAACCTAACAACAAACCCAACCACAAACACCAATACCAACAACAAAAAAAAAACAACGAAAAAGCAAACGAAAACAAACCAAATCCAAACGCAAAATCAACCAAAAACACAAATACAAACCCAAACAAAAAAAACACAAACAAAAACGAAAAAAGAAAGAACAAAAACGAACCAAATCAAAACGCAACCACTAACGCAAACCCACCTAAACACAAAGAAAACACTAACGCGAACATAAACGCCCGGGGCGGAATCACCTGTTTTAGCTTAATGAACGACTATAGTACACCAACTTATTCGTAGTCTTTTGCACTCACGTAAACGAACGCGCCTTTTTCAATTTAATGAACAATTTTAATACTCCAAGCTTATCCGTAAAATACCTACAACATTTGCACTTGATCAATCCCCGCTAATTATGTAATTATTTTTTTTTCCCAACACCAAAACAAAGTAATACAAAGTAAATTCTTTTCCACTAAATGCAATGGTTTTATAAAGGGAAGTAATTGTGTTTTCCTAATTTATCAAAGGGAAGTAAGTGCTATAGGACTAAATAAAGACATAATTAGAATTTTTGTAGAAGATGATATTTTTTTTAAAACTTGTGTTTAATGAACATGCCGACAATTATTATTATAATTTGAAAAATGAAAATTATTTCCCAACACTTTCAATGGTAATTTTTAACTCATAAATTTAGACAAAAGCGCACGATAATTGTCTAACACTTAAATCCATCCAAGACCAACGACAAACATATGCATTTTTACATACAGAACTGAGCTTTATATATTAGATATATATATATATATATATATATATATATATATATATATATATATATATATATATATATATATATATATATATATATATATATATATATATATTTCGTGCGATGCTATTCTAGTAGTTGACTAGTCATATTTTCTATGTTCTGACGAAACAGACTGTCAAGTGGGTAGTTACCTCATGGACTGTGTCGGTGACTGCTCCAACTGTGAGAATGATTGTAACAAGTTTAACGGCTCCTGTGACAGGTGTAAGTTAGGATGGAAGGATCCAGTACATGCTTGTACTACAGGTAAATACGAGGGAAAACGTTAAGGATAGGAGGATGGATGGTAAATATTTTCAATTTTGGTTGGCTTATGAGTATGACGAATTGTTCCGTCGTTTTCGTTTATTAATGACCAGTTGGACATGACCCCCTCCCATAGCTTTAGGTACAGCTACAGCTTGGTTCAGGGTTAGGGCTAGGGTTAATGTGAAGGTTAAGGTGAATGCTTACGTTTTGGTCTTTTAGGATTGAAGTAATATGTAGGTAGGCCTATATCGGTGGAGTTAGAGTCAGGATTCTATCTTGGGGGGGGGGGGGGAGGTAAATCCCATGGGAGGTAATTAACAGGGGGTAATTGCTCTGGGGTGATGACAGGGGGGGAATGTCCGGAGGGGGGTGGTGATAATTGACGGGGGTAATCTCCTGGACTATATACATACATGCACACACACACACATATATATATATATATATATATATATATATATATATATATATATATATATATATATATATATATAAACAGAATGTCCGGAAATGACCTTCGGGTTTCACTGTACACAGTCCTGCAGCTTGAAATGCAACAAACACGACTGTTTAGATAAAGTCCGTGGCACTTGTCCAGGTGAGTTGTATTATAAAGATGCTTTTGATCAATTCTAACGGTAATACCTTAGCCTTAACTTGTAAAAAATGAATCAAGAAGTGAAATATAATTTTAAAAGTGTTCATGTAACCAAACCATTTTTGTTTCTCATTGATAAAGTGTTATGTTTGTAAGCGTATTTTTTTTGTTTCATTTTATTTGTAGAATAACGTTGTTTTTTTACTAATCCATTAAAAAAACTTTTTGATGACGTTTCAGTGCTTGCAAAGTCCCAGGACCTGCTTTTTCTATTCCCACTCGTGTTGCTGTTGCCTGTTTGCTTCCTGCCGTGTATATGCCGCAGGTAAACATTAACCTGCCATGTAATGTTGTCATAGGTCTTGATAGCTAACTATCAACCGATCATTGGATTCTTTCTAAACTAAATGGCGTTCACTGGCACAACGCCATCTGCAGCAGGGGACATAGAAATGAAAGCTTCAGACGCAAATGAAAAACGAAAATGACGCAGGATTGGTCAAGTATTAGAGATGAGAACAGAATGAAGATATCACAGAAGATATACGAACCTGGACAACTCAAGAAAAAAAAACAACTGGGAAGGCCAATGACGACAAAGAAGCGCACAGCAGAACAAATCTGACAAGAGACGGATTATCTTGGGGACAGCCAAGACTATAGTCAGAGAGTGGAGAGGGCTTTCTGTATCTGCCCTATGTGATGATGATGATGATGATGATGAAGATGATGACGATGATGATGTAGATGATGATGATGATGATGATGATGATGACGATGATGATGATGATGATGATGAAGATGATGATGATGATGATGTAGGTGATGATGATAATGATGATGACGATGATGATGATGATGATGATGATGATGATGATGATGATGACGATGTAGATGATGATGATGATGATGATGATGATAAAGTTGATGATGATGATGATGATGATGATGATGATGATGATGACGATGATGATGATGATGATGATGATGATGACGATGATGATGATGATGATGATGATAATGATGATGATGATGATGATGATGATGATGATGATGATGATGACGATGTAGATGATGACGATGATGATGATGATGATAAAGTTGATGATGATGATGATGATGATGATGATGATGATGATGATGATGATGATGATGATGATGACGATGATGATGATGATGATGATGATGATGAAGATGATGATGCGACAGCATGAATAAAACCACATCTGTGTTGTTCAGTCCTCTGTGGTCTTTGGTTTCTTGTACCGGGCTAAAAAAAACATGAAACAACAATGACGGTTATAACAGTCACACGGCAAATTATTTTAGACAAACTATATACAAAAACAGAGATTTGTTTACCAACTCAGGATAAAATCGCTCAGGTTAAAAATATATTTTAAATCAGTCATTACATGATATACGAACTATTTAATTTAACGTCGATTCACATTATTTGGTTACAGTCCTTTTGTAAGAAGTCAAGTTTTAGAAAACAGTTGTATTTCCTTCATTTAATTAATCTAATTAAATATGTGTTGCTCTTTATGCAATTGGTAATTAATTCAATAATAAGTTTTAACTAAAATGTTTTATTGCAGGAAAAAGGTTGTGGTCTCAGAGTCAGAAAATCCTGCGCTGGATCTGACGTTACAATTGCTTTGAAGTGATAAAATTTATCTGGCTGTGATCTTAAATCTGACTATGTCCAATATTTTCTAAATTTAAAAATAATAAACTTCAATAATTAAAATATTGTCTTGGTGATTTATTTGTATGAGTTCTTCCAATTACATTTAATAGTAAAAAAGATTTCTTTGAAAATAATCAATAATCAATATTGAGTTTTGTAATCATCAATTTTCGTACTAACATTAACACAATATTGATCACAATGGCGATATATACTACATATATATATATATGTATATATATATATATATATATATATATATATATATATATATATATATATATATATATATATATATATATATATACATATATATATAATTTGTATAGGAGGCTTATTACTCACTGCCGATAGTCCAGTAGGCGTAATAGTCGGTTCATTCAGGGATATCCCTCTAAATATAGACAGAGCATCTTTAGGTGAGTACCGAACTTGACTGGCGACATCTGTAATATACACACAACTGTCTTCGTCTTACAACTATGTTAAACTTCCTCACAACTTACTCTTTCTTGTGTGATGCGGTACTTGTTTTTTAATGTGTGTACCACGCATTCTGGCTAGCTGCTATTAGGTTTTTCAACACACACAAAATTGGCCATAATTTCAGCCAATACTAACCTAACCTTAGAGATACGCGTTTGATTTGTTCCGTAACTTTGCTCGTATGTGAAAATTGCTCTTTTCTCCATTGGAATTATTCGAAATGCCTATATCATTTCCGGCCCCACAAAATGTCACCCTAGTTTCTTTTATGCGTGGTTTAAAAAAAAAGAAAAGTGTATACAAACAATAAAACGTAGTTTAATAAAATATAATATGATAATGTTAAGAAATCAACCGGTTTTATATATATACTAGGCATGCTGCCCAGCTTCGCTTAGGCTTTCGAAAACATTGAGAATTTGAATGCTTAATTAATTCGCCCGAGGGTCGGTCTACGACCTCAAGAGCTATGAAGAGGTTCCTCCGTGGACATTTTTTTTAAAATTATAGCTCATATAAGGTACCGGTCAGTCGATGTCAGTTTTGACCCCCTTATCGTAGACTTTTAGGCCAACCGGCCTCCGTGTTCTGTCGCCCCAAGGCAAGGTCCTGCCAAATTTGAAGCGCCTGCGGCGCCGGGAAGTGCCCTATCGGACACCCGACAATCTAGATCTAGATCTAGATTCCTAAAAGAATTTTTTTTTTAAGTTTAGCCCGAGCATAATAAAAAAAAATACATTAACCATGTTGACTTGGTGTGTCTCGAACCCGCACCACCTGCGTGGTTTAATGTACACTAACATCTCCGCTATTTAGGCACCTTATATTGTACGGAGAATGAAACACGTATTTTAAAATCTTAACTTACGCGAATATGCCTATTTTTTCAAATTAATTTTTTTATCCCAAATTAGCCAGTTCCAAACAGAGATTTTGTATAAAATAAATAAGTCTTGAAATAGTTTAGTCCTAATATAGAAATTTATTTTTGGAATTGATTTTAGAGAAGTTAGAGTCTAAATCTAGATCTTAGCGTCTACGTCTAGATCTAGTTATTGCGTAGATTTAGATTTAGATTTAGTCTAGATCTAGAATCTCTAGATCTAGAATCCAAATACATAAAATAAATTTTATGAGTTTAGGCCGGAAAAATTGTATTGTATACATTTCATAGTGTACGTAGATCTAAATCAAATTTGAATGAAATAGTTCATTTCTTTTCATTCTAAACACGGCAGATGACGTCATTAGTTAATGTATAAGCAATAGTGACGTCACAGTTTTATGCGTTCTTTTTCACATATATTAATGCTTTTCCGGTTGCATAAATAATACTGTTTCTCTACATTCGAATACGCCTTTAATTTTTATTTTTCTTCTTTAACTAAAATTGTGGTTATACATTTAAAACATCTAACATATTATTTTCAACAAAAGTCCGTATAAAGTTCTGCATATATCGCTGCCGTTTCTGACGTGATGTCCGGCGAAAATATTTTGCGGACAGACAGAGAGAGAGAGAGAGAGAGAGAAGAGCGCACATGGCCTTTTATAAATTAGGATATATATATATATATATATATATATATATATATATATATATATATATATATATATATATATATATATATATATATATATATATATACTAGTCTACCCGTCATCCCTTGGATAACTGGGTTTCGTGGGTCATCCATAAAAAAACATCACGTCTGTCACTTATCCTAAAAAAAACCAGTCCGCACATTAAAAAAGACGTCACACCTCAGACGTTTTTGTCTTGTAATAACACCTATGTAGGCTGAGCAAGGGTCTGACAACACTATCTCTTCATATGCAGACGTCACATGTGAACTATACACCTACCCAACTCTACTCCACCTGTTTTATCGTTTAAAATAAAGATTTCGACCGAGCATGGCTTTGACCACACTATCCACGCCATATGCTGAGGACAAAGAATAAAAGTCTCGGAGTCGACTGAGTTAGCTGCACACGCAGAAGAAACTTGTTATTTCCTTGACTTCTGGCTACGTATGTGTATGTCACTGTCTTAGCCATCGGGGGCCTGATGACGTGTAAGCAGATTTTGTTTTAGTTTCTTTTAAATCTCGCACGTTAAATTTGTATTAAGATGTGTTGTATTCTCTTTTAAAGTAACTAAATCAAAACCAAAAAAAAAACATTTTTATTAATCCAAAAGTTGTTTGGTAGTGTGTCACTCTGTTACTTATTTCGATCTTTTTAAATGAGTTTGTTATTATATTTTACGGTTTGTTGCATGTTATACACTCTTAATAGTTTGGGGTTAACTAAATATTTTTTTTTCTGGTTAAAATGAGGAATAAAGTTTTAGAGAATTCGCCGCGATGGAAAAATACAACAGTTGGTAGACAGACAATGCTTTTTTTAATTTTTAACCTTAAACTAAGCATTAAACTTAACCTATGTTTTAATCATTTCCCTTACCCTTATCAGTAACCTTAACCTTTAACTTTCCCTCACCCCTCACCCTTAACATCACCCTCAACCTCATCTTCAACCTTAGCCTCACCTTCAACATCAACCTCAACCTCAACCTCACCTTCAACCTCAACCTAACCTTCAACCTCAACCTCAACCTCAACCTCAATCTCACCTTAAACCTCAACCTCACCTTTAACCTCAACCTCACCTTCAACCTCAACCTCAACCTCACCTTCAACCTCAACCTCAACCTCACTCTCACCTTTACCCTGACCTTTACCTTTACCCAAATCCTTACCCCCACCCTTACCCTTATCCTGTTTCAGAATTTTATCACTAAAGTAAAATTGATTCAAATTTTAAAAAAAAGCTCACTGTACTATTCCGTCAAAAGTGACAGTTTAGACTTTCATCCTTCGTAGCATGACCTCCCTTTCCATGCTCCCATTGGTGTAGTTAGCGGTTCTAAACGTCACTTTAAAAGGATGGTGCACCATTTTTATCGCGTGAAAAATATATCGGCCAGCCCGGAATGGTGGGAAGTTTAGGATAAAGTAGTCGCCGAAATGAAGCGACTGGGCTGCTAAAAAATCCAAACAAGAATGTTAGAAAGTCTAACATTGGCGGAATTAGGTAGTAAGGGGCCATCCATAAATGACGGCACGCTTTTTTTTTGTCAATGTTTACCTCCCTCCTCCCCTCCGTCACACGTCGTCTCAAAAAGCCAGACCCCCCCCTAAAATGATGTCACACCTCACCCTACAACCCCACCCCCCCTCAAATATGCTGTTGAATTTTCTTAAAACATCGATATTTTTCCGAAATCTTGTCCTAACTCTGTCTAGCACTTTCCTCGCAATATTTTCGTCTCAGGGTATGCCCAATCTAGCCAAATTACGGGCTTTAATATCCCTGTCTACTGGGATTTATTTTATCCTCGGTGCCCCCCACACCCCCCACCCCCACCGTTAGGGTCGGCGCCCGGCTAGTTACGCCTCTGCACCTGTCCAAAGAGATACCATTGTGAAGATTCACAGAGTTGATTGCCGTGTACGCTAGTTTAAGCTGGTTTCTACAAGACCAATGCTTGGTCGTCCATATCATTCTGTATGTTGTTGTATATCGTCTATATTGTTCTGTATGTTGTGTTATATCAGTTCTCATTTCCTATTGTCGTCTATATTGTTCGGTATGTTGTGTTATATCAGTTCTCTTTTCCTATTGTCGTCTATATTGTTCTGTATGTTGTGTTATATCAGTTCTCATTTCCTATTGTCGTCTATATTGTTCGGTATGTTGTGTTATATCAGTTCTCATTTCCTATTGTCGTCTATATTGTTCTGTATGTTGTGTTATATCAGTTCTCATTTCCTATTGTCGTCTATATTGTTCGGTATGTTGTTGTGTTATATCAGTTCTCTTTTCCTATTGTCGTCTATATTGTTCGGTATGTTGTTGTGTTATATCAGTTCTCATTTTCTATTGTCGTCTATATTGTTCGGTATGTTGTTGTGTTATATCAGTTCTCATTTCCTATTGTCGTCTATATTGTTCTGTATGTTGTGTTATATCAGTTCTCATTTTCTATTGTCGTCTATATTGTTCGGTATGTTGTGTTATATCAGTTCTCATTTCCTGTTGTCCAAACTCTGTTTGCAATAGGTTCAGGATTGTGTGTATGTATGTATGTATGTATGTATGTATGTATGTATGTATGTATGTGTGTGTGTGTATGTATGTATGTATGTATGTATGTATGTATGTATGTATGTATGTACGTATTTATATATATACATATATATATATATATATATATATATATATATATATATATATATATATATATATATATATATATATCTTTGGGTGTATGCATGTATGCAAGTATTCATGCATATATCTGTGTGCGCGCGTAGGTGTATGCTAGTTTATTAGTGGCCTTGATCAGCGTTAATAAAAAAATAATACTTTCGTCTTTTTTTTTTAACTTTAATATTTGTTTAATGTACACAGAATACAAAGTGCTAGTCAAATGACAAATAAGATTCCATTAGTTAAAAAAAAAATAAGTAAAATTTAGTTGACAAGAAAACACCACATTAAAGTTTATATCTGTAGTCGTGGCTTCATAGTTTTGGGCAGGCTAGAACGGCAGTGTAAGATCTTGAACTTCAGATTCTGGTAACATTTGAACTTTTCTACAGAAGAAAATAAAATAAAACACCTTACAGAAAATTAAATACGTTTTATTAAAAAAAAAAATTTCGAAACTGGTATAAATGGGGCAGATGAAGTAGAGTTCACCTGACGTGTGACCTCGGCATATAAATGATAGCCTGGTTAGCTAGTTGGACCTAGGGTCAAGCTCATGAATTGAACTTGAAACTTTCGTGTTAGCAGGCGTAAGCTCTATTGTCCGACCACGCCGTACCGAGTTTAATACCAATGGCTTTCCCTGTTTCACTTAAATGCTTTGCCTTTCGTAATATTTGACTTCGAGAGTCTTTTAATAAAACCACCAACAACATAATTCTCTAAAAAATATGGGATTTCAACAGTTCTAATTTACAAATATAAATAATGTTTTTATTTTTATTTTTTTTATTTATGTGTACATTCTCCTTTACCTGCGAAATATACACGGCAAGAAACAAATAGGGCAGAATAACAAGATCGGCAGTAACAACATGAAATCTCTGGTCTGTCCAACAACTGAAATAAACGAAAAGATCCGCAGTAATAATGTGAAATCCTTAGCCTTTCCCACAACTGAAATAAACAAAAAGATCAGCAGTAATAATGTGAAATCCTTAGCCTTTCCCACAACTGAAATTAACAAAAAGATCAGCAGTAATAATGTGAAATCCTTAGCCTTTCCCACAACTGAAATAAACAAAAAGATCCGCAGTAATAATGTGAAATCCTTAGCCGTTCCCACAACTGAAATAATTAAAAAGATCAGCAGTAATAATGTGAAATCCTTAGCCTTTCCCACAACTGAAATAATTAAAAAGATCAGCAGTAATAATGTGAAATCCTTAGCCTTTCCCACAACTGAAATAATTAAAAAGATCAGCAGTAATAATGTGAAATCCTTAGCCTTTCCAACAACTGAAATAATTAAAAAGATCAGCAGTAATAATGTGAAATCCTTAGCCTTTCCCACAACTGAAATAAACAAAAAGATCAGCAGTAATAATGTGAAATCCTTAGCCTTTCCCACAACTGAAATTAACAAAAAGATCAGCAGTAATAATGTGAAATCCTTAGCCTTTCCCACAACTGAAATAAACAAAAAGATCCGCAGTAATAATGTGAAATCCTTAGCCGTTCCCACAACTGAAATAATTAAAAAGATCAGCAGTAATAATGTGAAATCCTTAGCCTTTCCAACAACTGAAATAATTAAAAAGATCAGCAGTAATAATGTGAAATCCTTAGCCTTTCCCACAACTGAAATAATTAAAAAGATCAGCAGTAATAATGTGAAATCCTTAGCCTTTCCAACAACTGAAATAATTAAAAAGATCAGCAGTAATAATGTGAAATCCTTAGCCTTTTCCACAACTGAAATAAACGAAAAGATCAGCAGTAATAATGTGAAATCCTTAGCCTTTCCCACAACTGAAATAAACGAAAAGATCAGCAGTAATAATGTGAAATCCTTAGCCTTTCCCACAACTGAAATAAACGAAAAGATCAGCAGTAATAATGTGAAATCCTTAGCCTTTCCCACAACAGAAATAAACAAAAGGATCAGCAGTAATAATGTGAAATCCTTAGCCTTTCCCACAACTGAAATAAACAAAAAGATCCGCAGTAATAATGTGAAATCCTTAGCCTTTCCCAGAACTGAAATAAACAAAAAGATCCGCAGTAATAATGTGAAATCCTTAGCCTTTCCCACAACTGAAATAAACAAAAAGATCAGCAGTAATAATGTGAAATCCTTAGCCTTTCCAACAACTGAAATAAACAAAAAGATCAGCAGTAATAATGTGAAATCCTTAGCCTTTCCCACAACTGAAATAAACAAAAAGATCAGCAGTAATAATGTGAAATCCTTAGGCTTTCCCACAACTGAAATAAATCAAGTACAGAAATATAAAATATGTATATCAACATGTCAACATTTAATAGTTAAATAGAAAACTATAAAATATATACATCCAAATTTTGACGTTAAATGGAAATTAACCTATACATTTAAATTTAAAAGTAAAGTAGAAAAACACAAAATTAATATGTATGTATACATTTAAAAGTTAAGTAGAAAATCATTCTAGAAATCAAATTGTAAACGTTAAATAGAAAACATAAAATATGTATATATAAATGTAAAAGTTAAGTAGAAAATGATTATAGACATCAACATTTAAACGTTAAGTAGAAATCAACCTATGAATATAATTTAAAAGTTACTTTTAAAAAACCATAAAATATGTAGATCTATACCGAAATTTAATAGTTAAGTAGAAAATCACCCTATACAACTAAATATTAAGTAGAAAAACAGCACAATTTTAACCCCAACCACACTAAAAATATTTTTTTTAAAAAGAAGTTCTTGGACTGTGAATTTTTTTCCTGAACCTATAAAATAGGTAACATTCATTTAGAGTTTTCTAATCAGCCTCGGTGTTGTAATCACACTTAAGTGGGGTTGGTATACCAACCATAACTCTATACAACAACCAGTTACTGAATCAACTGGTGTTGACCTGGTTGGTATACCAAACGCATGTGGAACAACCAGTTATTGAATCAACTGTTTTTACCTGGACAAGTTCCTTGTATACGGTCTAGACAGTCGTGGTTGCTGCATTTATCACTGCAAGATCCTGTGCAGTGGAACCCGAACGTCATTTCTGGACACTCTGTATATATATATATATATATATATATATATATATATATATATATATATATATATGTATATATATATATATATATATATATATATATATATATATATATATGTTTATGTGTAAGAGTATAATTTGTGTGTGTATATATATATATATATATATATATATATATATATATATATATATATATATATATATATATATATATATATATATATATACATGTTTATGTGTAACTGTATAATTTGTATATATATATATATATATATATATATATATATATATATATATATATATATATATATATATATATATATATATATATATATATATATATATATATATATATATATATATATATATAGTGTTATATATATACATATATATATATATATATATATATATATATATATATATATATATATATATACATGTATGTTTATGTGTAAGTGTATAATTTGTATATATATATACAGTCTGTATATATATATATATAAATATATATATATATATATATATATATATATATATATATATATACATACATATATATATACATATACATATATATATATATATATATATATATATATATATATATATATATATATATATATATATATATATATATATATATATGTGTGTGTGTGTGTGTTACGGTCAAAGCCGCGCATTGGCCAACATTGCCTCCCA